TATAATGTTTGTAAATATTTAGTAGTTTGCATTATTTCTGAATGTAATAATAAAATATCACTTATACACTGATGCCACTTAAATGTTTTTTTCTTCTCTCAACAATGCAATTTTGTCCCGGTGCGAATATTTTCCGGGAAACTGAAAAAAACGAATCATTTAAAAACTATTACAACAGTAAAAGCCACTGCATTCCTGAACAACTCAATAACGCTCGTGCCCTCGGGCCAAAGATGATCTCGATTCAGTCGAAGGAGATAAAAGACTTTAAACCATGTTTTACTCCCCCTGTGTGTGTGTGTGTGTGTGTGTGTTCTTTCAAAAGTCAATAAACTGGAGCGAATGCATGTTGGGGTAAATGTCAGAACTGAGAAGAACTTTTCAATAAGTTTAAACCGGAGCAGATGCGAGTACCAACATTTCAATCTCTTTTATCTTTGCTTTCCTCTTCAAAAATCGATACTGGAGGCCAAAAGAACAAAGAGATTCACCTCTGCCCACCAAAGACGCATAAACGACTCATTACGCTAATTAAGAGCTCAGCGCTTCCACACTGACGAGAACATTTAGAGATGACAAGAAAATAATAGGAAAGCTGGAACGGCCTCAGGAGACGCTCTGATGAAGCGCTTAGAGTCCTGACACCAGAAATCAATAACTATTGAAAGATTTGAAGCATATTACATGGAAGAGTTGCAAAAATTGCAGTATTTTTGTCTCGTTTTGTTCTTGTTTTAAACATAAACTTGATACATTTTTCAGTAAACAAGACTTAATGGTAACACCTTAAAATAATTAGTTAACATTAGTTAGTGTATTAACTAACATTAACTAACAATGAGCAATACATTTGTTACAGTATTCATTAATATTTGTTAATGTTAGTTAATAAAAATACAGCTGTTCATTGTTTGTTCATGTTAGTTCACAGTCCAGTATCAAATACAACCATTGATTTTAATCACGTATTAGTAAATGTTGAAATTAATATTAACTACACTCTAAAAAATGCTGGGTTGTTTCAACCCAAATTTGGGTCAAATATGGACAAATCCAGCCATTGGGTTACATTTTTAAATACAATTTTTGAACCAACGGTTGGGTTTGTCCATATTCTACCCAAATTTGGGTTGAAACAACCCAGCATTTTTTAGAGTGTAGGATTAATAAATGCTGAAGAATTATTGTTCAATGAACTAATGAACCTTATTGTAAAATGTTACCGACTTAATATCTTCAGTCATTTTGCTTCTCCAGTAAATGCATCTTGATTTAAGAATGTTTCGATATTTGTGCTGTATATATTGAAGGAAAAGCATCATCAAATATAAGTTTTAGTGTGTGTGTCACATGTTTTGGTCACTGCATCATCATTCCCAGATTTCCATCTCCGTGATTTTCCATCACTGGACTATTATTCTAACATGTGCAAAATAATCAGAATCAAGATTGAGTGGATTTGGATCTGGATTATGAAATGCGCTGATATGAACCGTCAGTGTAAAGCAGAACATCTCCAGATCTAATATGAGTGCGGTCAGAGCACTCGCGGGTGGGATGTTTGGTCATGAATGTTTCTCGTTAAACGGCACAGGCGCGGGATAGCTCTGGCAGGTCGAGTCTTTAGCGCTGAACTCGCGCAGCTGGCTAATATTCACTGATTAAAACCAACTGGGTTTTTAGTGAAGTGCAATGATTCTTTTCTGAAGGTCACATCAGTCAAAGCATCACAGATCAAGTCCGCTTTATTTCTACAGCGCTTCATACAATACAGATTTGCTGCGTCCCAATTCGCATACTATCCGTCCTGAATAGTATTCGAAAATAGAATTAGTGCGTCCCAAATGGTAGTATGTTAAAATGAGTGTCCCAAAGAGACCCGGATGGTCTACTATATCCGGTCAGAATCCGAAGTGCAGATCCATGCGCACTCTAACGGCTGATATTACCCACAACCCATCGCGCGTCGGACGAGGATTCGGTTAGAACTACAAACACGAGTGAAAAGTGTTAAACAACTACAGACATGGAGGACACGCGAGTCCGGCGGTTATGTAGAGGTTTAGATAAAGGGGTTTGAGTGATTAATTATCAGTATCTAACCTGATGAAAATGTATTTATTCAATGTTGTCCACATTATATTGCATCTGCAGCATTGTGAACTTTTGTAAAAATACGTTCAGCCATTAACTTTTAAATGCATCATTACATCATTGCAAACACATGAGGAGAGTCTCGGCATGAAAGACCCACGACTGGCAGATCAACGTGCGACAACATTTCTCTCCGAAATAGTAAGAAATTATATTCGATTGAATGGAGGATTTTAACTGTGACGAGATGATTGACAGGGCAGTTTACGATGACCGGATGATTGACAGGGCAGTTTACGGTGACCGGATGATTGACAGGCCAGTTTACGGTGACCGGATGATTGACAGGTCAGTTTACGGTGACCGGATGATTGACAGGTCAGTTTACGATGACCGGATGATTGACAGGGCAGTTTACGGTGACCGGATGATTGACAGGCCAGTTTACGGTGACCGGATGATTGACAGGTCAGTTTACGGTGACCGGATGATTGACAGGTCAGTTTACGGTGACCGGATGATTGACAGGCCAGTTTACGGTGACCGGATGATTGACAGGGCAGTTTACGGTGACAGGATGATTGACAGGTCAGTTTACGGTGACCGGATGATTGACAGGTCAGTTTACGGTGACCGGATGATTGACAGGCCAGTTTACGGTGACTGGATGATTGACAGGTCAGTTTACGGTGACCGGATGATTGACAGGCCAGTTTACGGTGACCGGATGATTGACAGGGCAGTTTACGGTGACAGGATGGTTGACAGGTCAGTTTACGGTGACCGGATGATTGACAGGTCAGTTTACGGTGACCGGATGATTGACAGGGCAGTTTACGGTGATAGGATGATTGACAGGGCAGTTTACGGTGATATGATGATTGACAGGGCAGTTTACGGTGATATGATGATTGACAGGCCAGTTTACGGTGACCGGATGATTGACAGGCCAGTTTACGGTGATAGGATGATTGACAAGCCAGTTTACGGTGACAGGATGATTGACAGGGCAGTTTACGGTGACAGGATGATTGACATGTCAGTTTACGGTGATAGGATGATTGACAAGCCAGTTTACGGTGACCGGATGATTGACAGGGCAGTTTACGGTGATATGATGATTGACAGGGCAGTTTACGATGACAGGATGATTGACATGTCAGTTTACGGTGATATGATGATTGACAGGCCAGTTTACGGTGATAGGATGATTGACAAGCCAGTTTACGCTGACCGGATGATTGACAGGGCAGTTTACGGTGATATGATGATTGACATGTCAGTTTACGGGGATAGGATGATTGACAGGCCAGTTTACGGTGACCGGATGATTGACAGGCCAGTTTACGGTGACCGGATGATTGACAGGGCAGTTTATCGTGATATGATGATTGACAAGCCAGTTTACGGTGACCGGATGATTGACAGGGGAGTTTACGGTGATAGGATGATTGACAGGGCAGTTTACGGTGACCGGATGATTGACAGGGCAGTTTACGGTGATTGGATGATCGACAGGGCAGTTTACGGTGACCGGATGATTGACAGGGGAGTTTACGGTGATAGGATGATTGACAGGTCAGTTTACGGTGACCGGATGCACGCGACAGAGCTGTCCGTTAAAGATGACGATGTAGTGTGTCCCAAAGCTTGCCTACTCTTTTGCTACACACTCAAAAGTATGTACTTTTTCTTCACGAAAAGAGTACATACTTTTAGGGCGTAGTATCAGTAGGCGAATTGGGACGCAGCAACTGTTTCAGTAATAAACAGGACAAAAACAGAATCAACGATGCAAACTTCATTAAATATGAGACCGATTCAGCTGTAAAGCAGCTGTCATTTCAGATCAGTGTTGATTCATAGTGTCAAAAATATGTTCTAATAGCATTTTGCTAATGTTCATATTAAGTTATGAAAAACGTTCTCTGAATGTTCAAAACGTAAATGTTTTAGAAATATTTTTTCTTGGTTAGGCGAACATTCCAAAATAGAACATTCCATTTTGCAAACATTATTGGAATGTTACATTTGAATGTTCTTTGAACATTCCGAAACAAGTAATAACATTTAAAAAAAATGATAAGCATCTAAATAAAACCTTCCATGAACGTTTTGAGAACATTATTAAAGACCAGATAACTCTGAACGAACTTTTCACATAACTTTGAAAGAAAGAGTTCTGAGAACATTCAGCTCTATTCCGTTCAGTTTTGTTCTCGGTTCAGTCAAATCAATATTACTGAGCATTAGGGCCAGATTGAGCCTACTAACAGCTTGCTCCAGCACTAACCCTCTTCTGGGGTTAAAACTGCTGTCAGGATCTGCTAAAGACACACAGGGAAGAGTTCGCGCTGTAGCGGTTATTACTGCGGCTGATATCATTGCAGGAGTTTGTCTTTCAGACGCAGTGTTGATGTGAGGAGAGGATGGAGTGAATCATGCTGGTGATTTACTAGGTTTTAAAGCCCGTCTTAACCCAGACGCTGATGCGCTGCTCTTGTGGATTGTGTTGGTCATTATGGAAATGATCCGGCTGCGTCTGATCTTTACTTTGAGCAGAACTTTTCACTTTCCCTCTCACACTAATTTGCCCTGTTTAGCAAATCTGGCCCTGAGTGTCTGTAAATAGTGTTTTTGTTTCTGTTTGTATTTCAGTTGTAATGCGATACGCAAATGCAATCACTCGTTTCTTGGACTGGGCAAATGTCTATTGGTCATCGATGTGTGAACTGATTGTTTGTTCTTTACTGTTATTGTGAAGCTTGGGAAAGGCACTATATAAATAAAAAATAGTATTATTATGTTTTTAAACCCCTATAGTGACACCGATCAGGTCTGCAGATCTTCACGCATGACTTCTGCTGATTTGATCAGGTGTGTGTGTGTGTGTGTGTGTGTTTCAGAGCTGTGGTTACGGCACGAAGGACGAGGAGTATTCCTGCGTGGCGTGTCCGGCGGGGAAGTTCTCCAAAGGGAAGTATGAGATCTGCCGGCGACACAAGGACTGCGACTCGCTGTACCGGGCCACGGTGCTGACCACGGGGACGCTGGAGAGCGACGCTGAGTGCGGGCCGTGTTTACCGGGGTCAGGACAATAATGAGTGTAGAGTGTGTTTGACTGTTTCTGTGGCGTTGCTTCCGGAAGTGTGTTTTCCATTCTTTTCTTCCACAGGGATTTGAGAAAAGTCTCGGTTAAAGCGTTACAAGCCTTGAACCAAATTAATCTCAACATTACAAACTTTGATGTGAAGCAAAAAAGTATTTGAAAATCACACTCAGACACACTCACACACACACACACACACACACACACACACACACAGACACTCACACACACTCAGACACACGCTCACACACACACGCTCGCTCACTCACTCACACACAGACACTCACACACACTCAGACACACGCTCACTCACACACGCTCACACACGCTCGCTCACACACACTCAGACACGCTCACACACGCTCGCTCACTCACACACACTCAGACACGCTCGCTCACTCACACACACTCAGAGACACGCTCGCTCACTCACACGCTCACTCAAACGCTCACACACACGCTCCCTCACTCACACACGCTCACACACACGCTCACACACGCTCGCTCACTCACACACACTCAGACACACGCTCACACACACGCTCGCTCACTCACAAACACTCAGATACACTCTCACACACTCAGACACACGCTCACACACACGCTCGCTCACTCACACACACTCAGATACACTCTCACACACTCAGACACACGCTCACACACTCACAGACATGCTCACACACGCTCAGACACACTCACACATTCACTCACACATACACACAAGCTCACACACACGCTCGCTCACTCACACGCTCACACACACGCTCGCTCACTCACACACACGCTCGCTCACTCACACACACTCAGACACGCTCACACACACGCTCGCTAACTCACACACACTCACTCACACGCTCACACACACGCTCCCTCACTCACACACGCTCACACACACGCTCACTCACTCACACACACTCAGACACACGCTCACACACGCTCGCTCACTCACACACACTCAGACACACGCTCACACACACGCTCGCTCACTCACACACACTCAGATACACTCTCACACACTCAGACACACGCTCACACACTCACAGACATGCTCACACACGCTCAGACACACTCTCACACACTCACACACACATTCACTCACACATACACACAAGCTCACACACACACGCACACACGCTCACTCACACACATACACACGCTCTCACACACATACACACGCTCTCACACACGCTCACTCACACAAACACAAACTCATTTACACACACGCTCACTCACACACTCTCACACACATGCACACACACACACACACACTCACAAACACACACACTCATTTACACACACGCTCACTCACACACTCTCACACACACACACACACGTTCACACACACACACACACGCACACACACACACACACACACACACATGTGACAGCTTCACGCTGCTGTTGCCACTTAAAATGGAAGGTCTGGTTTCAATTGGCTTCAATGTAAATATACAAAGTGCAGCTTTTTGGAAGCACATTATTGAGTGTGTTTAATAGACTCTGTAGGACGCCTCAGGAAGTCTCGCTGGGTCTGTTTTCTGGGACGTAAAGTCTGATAGTGGGACATTTCCTTTGAGATTGTCCCGCGTGATGGCTTTGATCAGAGTGTGTGCTGGTCTGTATCTGACGTTTCGAGTCTGAGGGCATCAGTGGCGTCGCGGCTCACTTCAGAGAAGACATCAAGCAAAAATACAAAAACTAAACATTCGGCATATAATAGAACAGATTAATCTAATCGAGAACTCCACGAGTAGTGTTGTTTTTGTTCTCAGACTCATCTAGTCTTTACATATTAAATGCATATGTGAATAAACTCCAGTTATTGGAAGTATTGCTGTGAGGTCAGACGGGTGCGATGCTATTCATTAGTCGCTCTCGTTTATCGGTTTCAATATTTAAGGCATATTCATACAAACCTTGTGCAGAACTCAAAAGATATTTTGAAGAATGTTCCCGTTGACTTCCATTATATGGACTAAAAATACAATGGAAGTCAATGGAAAACTGTTTGGTTTCCAACATTCTTCAAAATCTCTTCTTTTATGTTCAGCAGAATCAACAGTTTCGGTTCCCATTGACTTCCATTGTATTTTTAGTCCATATAATGGAAGTCAATGGAAAACCACATCCTTAAATAGATGTTTATTTATAGGTCATTTAATTATTAACTGATATGTTCTACATAATTCCATAATTAAAACTGGTCAATCGTATTGATGCTCTTTAGTGAAGCGATTGGCTCTGTATCTGTGACTGACGTCCACATCTCTGTTCTCATATCAATATCTCGTATTGTTAAAGCTGCTCATTCATTTGTTTTGGATGTTCAGATTCTCTATCAGTAAGTCTATCTATCTATCTGTCTATCTGTCTGTCTGTCTGTCTGTCTGTCTGTCTGTCTGTCTATCTATCTGTCTATCTATCTATCTATCTATCTATCTATCTATCTATCTATCTATCTATCTATCTATCTATCTATCTATCTATCTATCTGTATGTCTGTCTGTCTGTCTGTCTATCTATCTATCTATCTGTCTGTCTATCTATCTGTCTATCTATCTGTCTATCTATCTATCTGTCTGTCTGTCTATCTGTCTGTCTATCTATCTATCTGTCTGTCTGTCTGTCTGTCTGTCTGTCTATCTATCTATCTATCTGTCTGTCTATCTATCTGTCTATCTATCTGTCTATCTATCTATCTGTCTGTCTGTCTATCTGTCTGTCTATCTATCTATCTGTCTGTCTGTCTGTCTGTCTGTCTATCTGTCTGTCTATCTATCTGTCTATCTATCTGTCTATCTATCTGTCTATCTATCTATCTGTCTGTCTGTCTATCTGTCTGTCTGTCTGTATATCTATCTATCTGTCTATCTCTTGTGTATTGTAAAGTGCTACAGTGATGAGCGTGTCCTGCTTAAACCTCACACTAATTCTGTATTTCTTTAGAAACGAGCAGCAGTTCATCGAGTTCTGATCTCTGTTCATATACGTCTCTTCTCCGTCAGGTACTACATACTGGAAAACAGGCCACGAAACATCTACGGCATGGTGTGTCATTCCTGTCAAAACGCTCCACGCAACATCAAAGAGTGTGAGTGTCCTTCCTCATTATTCCTCATCATCATCATCATCATCTCACTGCATCTCCACCGGTCTCCCGTTTGCAGAAACACAGAATAAACTCGTACATTCCTCACTGCAAAAAATGCTTTTCTTACTTAGTTTTTTTGTCTTGTTTCCAGTCCAAATATCTAAAAATTCTTAAATCAAGATGCATTTACTAGATGAGTAAAATTACATAAGATATTATGTCTTGTTTTCCAGTGTAATAAATCAAAATTAAGTGAGTTGATGCTTAAAAAAAGCAAAATGATCTGCCAATGGGGTCAGAAAAATAATATTGTTTCTGTTTGAATTATGATTATTTATCTGACCCCATTGGCAGATAATTTAGCTTTTTCCCCCAGAAAACAAGACATAATATCTTATGTCATTTTGCTCATCTAAATGCATCTTGATGTAAGAATTTTCAGCTATTTGGACTGGAAACAAGACAAAAATACTGAGTAAGAAAAGCATTTTTTTTTTTTGCTGTGCCGCACGAGGCCCACACACAAAATACTAAACCCAAACCAAACCGACCCGAAACCAGAGTTCCCAGAGATCCTTTAATGAAACAAATATCAGGTCATCAATAACGAGTCCGCCTGGAGTCCATCAGCCAGCGCGTTTGCGGTGCATGAATATTTTTAAGATTTATTTTCCTTCCTTTGGCCTTGGTTTAGTGTTTGGCAGATCGTTCATAACATGGTTGAGTCACTGATTAACAGCGCATACCTGAAGCAGTGAGTGCATGGAACAAACCGCAGGCGCGCAGTGACAGAAGCGTTCGCGACCGGCGGGAAACACGCAGAGTTAAGGCCGTTTAATCCGCTAAAACATTACAGAAAGTAGCAGCGAGTATTTTTCATTGCTGAATTAGTGCTGTAAATAATGACGTCTGGTTTCCATTCTAGGTTTTGGGGGGTTGATTTTATTTAGGATAAAATGTCATCGTTTGCGGAAGAGAGGAAACAAATTAACTCCAGGTTTCACCGACGGAGAGAGAGCCAGGCTTTTTATTGTTTTGTTTTGCTAATTTCTTTTTTTTTTTTTAAATCGCAGTTTGTTCTCAACCAGATTTTGGCCTTGTTGCACTGCAAGTCTGTGATGTTTCTCCAGAAAAGGAGGAAAAGCAAATTAAACTGAATGAAACTTTATTGTAAAGTGTTACAATTAATTAAAAAAAAAAATAAGCATCTTGTTTTCCTGTATGAATATCTAAACATTCAAGATTAATCAAGATTAATCTTGCTCAAAACAAGACAAATATTTGTGAATGGAGTAAGAAAAATAATCTTGTTTTCCCTTTAAATTAATTTTATTTTTAAGACCTCATTAGCAGATATTTGTTCTTGTTTTAATTTTGATTCTTTTTAATATCTTAATATCTTCAGTCATTTTGCTTCTCCAGTAAATGCATCTTGATTTAAGAATGTTTAGATATTTGTACTGGAAAACAAGACAGAAACACTGAGGAAGAACAGCATTTATTGCAGTGCATTATAACTAATGTTAACTCTTGTTTTTAAAGATGCATTAGTGAACGTTGAGATTAACATTAACTGAGGTTAATAAATGCTGTAGAAGTGTTGTTCATGTTAACTAACTCATTTTGAAAAGGAAGCCTGTTGTAAAGTGTTACCAATATTTGTAATATATCAAATCATGCACTGTAAAAAAAAAATTTGCTCCGATTAGTTATCACAACTTAAAATGTAACGTTAGAATAAGTAATAATGTGTTTTTTTCAACTTGAAGTGTTTGTGCTTGACTTAAAATATTAAGTTACCTTTAGTGTAGTTGGATATTTCAACAAATTTAAAGACAAGATAAGTCGAAAAAACACCGTATTACTTATTCTAATGTTGAATTTTTAGTTGTGATAACTAATTTTTTTGCATACACAGTGTGTAAATCTGAAACACGTCTGCGCCGGTCCTGGGGTTTTTGCTGCCTCTTTAATTGTTTTCTATATTGTGTGGTGACAGAAATTAAGTAGGTGGGAATGATATTTAATTAAATAAAGGTAACAAACAGGCCCTTTAAAGCTCTGAAACTATGCAGAGAGTCGCTCGGGTGAAGACATGTTCACACTCGCCAGGTAATCTGCAAATTATGCTCGCCCGCAGCGCAGGTTGTGTCCAATAATTAAGAGTTTTGAGGAAATAAAAAGATTATTAACTTGCTGCTGCTTGCATTTCACATGAGTGAAACTCTTCTCTGTCCACCAGCGGACCTCACACATGCCAACATGTGATTTTAATAAAAGCGCATGAAGTCTCCGTTAGCATCGCATGTTTCGCTGTTTTCAGTCGCCGGTCACGTATAATGGGATCGAGCTGAAACCTTCAGATCATGTGCATTGAGAAAGACAAGATGGGCTTTATTTAATGATGTTGTTGAGTGCCGTTTCTCCTGTGACATCAGATTTATAATGAACAGCCCTAGAGACGTAATAATAAGTCAGACCTCAGCTTTCCGCCAATGACTGATCGGGTTTCAGAACCATCCTTACGGCGTTTATTTCATTTACAATGTGTTTGACACTCTTAATGAGACAGAAATAAGCAAAGACGTCAAACGTATGAGAACTTTGACAAATTGTGCCGTTCGTGTGGGAGCTGTTTGCTTTTCAGATCAGCTGGTCATAATTAAATCAATACTTCGAGTGACTCGTGTAGCTGAAAACACTCGTCCGGTAGATTAAAACACTTTTAAAGAGACAGATTTGTGTTCGAGCCCATTAAGACTGTTAGTGTGCCATATTGTTATACAGTTAATGCCATGCTGCATCAAATTATACTCTATCATCCACTTAAAGAGAAGAAAAATGAAGTAATTTTCAACTACAGTAAAGAATGACATCACATTATGGTAATTCTGCCTGAAATCAGAGATTTTACTGACTGAAATGAAAGCCATACTCTATATTTCTTACTAGAAAGAAAAACAACAGGCAACATTCAAATCTCTTACTAGGAAAAAATATGGGCGACGTGTAAATCTCTGACTTGAACAAAACCGAACGACATTTAAATCTCTTACTTGAACAAAACCGAACAACATTTAAATCTCTGACTAGAACAAAACCGAACGACATTTAAATCTCTGACTAGAACAAAACCGAACGACATTTAAATCTCTGACCAGAACAAAACCGAACGAGATTTAAATCTCTTACTTGAACAAAACCGTACGACGTGTAAATCTCTGACTAGAACAAAACCGAACGACATTTAAATCTCTGACTAGAACAAAACCAAACGAGATTTAAATCTCTTACTTGAACAAAACCAAACGACATTTAAATCTCTTACTTGAACAAAACCGAACGACATTTAAATCTCTGACTAGAACAAAACCGAACGACATTTAAATCTCTTACTTGGACAAAACCGAACGACGTGTAAATCTCTGACTAGAACAAAACCGAACGACATTTAAATCTCTGACTAGAACAAAACCGAACGACATTTAAATCTCTGACTAGAACAAAACCGAACGAGATTTAAATCTCTTACTTGAACAAAACCGAACGACATTTAAATCTCTGACCAGAACAAAACCGAACGACATTTAAATCTCTGACTAGAACAAAACCGAACGACATTTAAATCTCTGATCAGAACAAAACCGAACGACATTTAAATCTCTTACTTGAACAAAACCGAACGACATTTAAATCTCTGACCAGAACAAAACCGAACGACATTTAAATCTCTGACCAGAACAAAACCGAACGACATTTAAATCTCTTACTTGAACAAAACCGAACGACATTTAAATCTCTGACTAGAACAAAACCGAACGACATTTAAATCTCTGACCAGAACAAAACCGAACGACATTTAAATCTCTTACTAGAACAAAACCGAATGACATTTAAATCTCTTACTTGAACAAAACCGAACGACATTTAAATCTCTGACTAGAACAAAACCGAACGACATTTAAATCTCTGACCAGAACAAAACCGAACGACATTTAAATCTCTGACCAGAACAAAACCGAACGACATTTAAATCTCTTACTTAAACAAAACCGAACGACATTTAAATCTCTGACTAGAACAAAACCGAACGACATTTAAATCTCTGACCAGAACAAAACCGAACGACATTTAAATCTCTTACTAGAACAAAACCGAATGACATTTAAATCTCTTACTAGAACAAAACCGAACGACATTTAAATCTCTGACTAGAACAAAACCGGGCGACATTTAAATCTCTGACTAGAACAAAACCGAACGACATTTAAATTTCTGACTAGAAACAAAACCGAACGACATTTAAATCTCTTACTAGAACAAAACCGAACGACATTTAAATCTCTGACTAGAACAAAACCGGGCGACATTTCAATCTCTGACTAGAACAAAACCGAACGACATTTAAATCTCTGACTAGAACAAAACCGAACGACATTTAAATCTCTGACCAGAACAAAACCGAACGACATTTAAATCTCTGACCAGAACAAAACCGAACGACATTTAAATCTCTTACTAGAACAAAACCGAACGACATTTAAATCTCTGACTAGAACAAAACCGAACGACATTTAAATCTCTTACTTGAACAAAACCGAATGACATTTAAATCTCTGACCAGAACAAAACCGAACGACATTTAAATCTCTGACCAGAACAAAACCGAACGACATTTAAATCTCTGACCAGAACAAAACCGAACGACATTTAAATCTCTGACCAGAACAAAACCGAACGACATTTAAATCTCTGACCAGAACAAAACCGAACGACATTTAAATCTCTGACTAGAACAAAACCGAACGACATTTAAATCTCTTACTTGAACAAAACCGAACGACATTTAAATCTCTGACTAGAACAAAACCGAACGACATTTAAATCTCTGACCAGAACAAAACCGAACGACATTTAAATCTCTTACTTGAACAAAACCGAACGACATTTAAATCTCTGACTAGAACAAAACCGAACGACATTTAAATCTCTGACCAGAA